ATATATATACAATACAATATTAAAAAAAATATAATGGAAAAATATGGAACATTTTGACCGTTAATATAGATATTTAAAACAGCATATTTTTCAGTATTACAAGTATAGTTACGTAAATAGCAAGTGACAGAGCAATAATGCTAATAATAAAGATGAAAATCAAGTTAAATTGATTATTTTTAATTTATTTCATGAAAAAGGAAATAATTTTATACTTATATAATAAAATGAAATTTTGCGATGTGTACGACACCGACTCGTGTAAACATATTAAAAATGTAAATATATTAAAAATGTAAATGATTTAAAACGCCGGTATGATCAAACATAGTTAGTACAAAACGATCAATACTTGTTAATATCCGTGCAACGCGTGATATACTATGTAAACGCGCAAGTTTTCGCATAAACTGTAGAGAGAGATGAAAAGAAGGTCGATTTAAAAGGAAAACTGCGTGCATAGTCTCTGCGTTATCGCAAGAAATTTCTGTTATTCATATTTATTAGCGGGCTTGCTCGTATCTGTATAAAGTAAGCGTCTCGCAAATGCGGCATGTAGCGTGTCTTACCTTCTCTATTATGCACACGAGATTTATGATAGATCCTACGTCGACGTGATGCTCGTCGCTTCCTAATATAAACGCCTCTGGTATCACTATATTTAGATTGACAAAGTGTGACAGTATCCCTGCACTTCTCGAGACCTGCAAAATAAAAAATACAATAACTGTGAATTATTTTGCACAAAAATTAAATATAACGTTTCATATAATACGAAGAAAATTTTAATGTAAAAAAAAATCAGATTATATAATTTTTTTTTCATATCAATTAAAAAATGGCAAAATTTAATGAGATTGTTCTATAAAATATTTGGAATAACTATAGAATCCAAAAGAAAATTTAAGAAAGAAACGTGATATTTGAATTTTTATAATTCATTTTATTTTAACTTCATAAACAATGATAATAGTATGTATACAGTAATATATATGCAGTCGGATCAAAACAAATCATAAAGGTAAAATGAAAATATTTCTATTGAAATATCAGACAGTTTCATATATAGTAGCTCCTACATAAACGCAAAAATATTATTGACTAAAAATATCAAATACTTTGATACTTTTCAACAAATTGTGACAAATAAATTAATTAATGTTCAATTATGGCATCAAAACTTTGTTAACAGTCATATTCACGTATTTAAATCGGTGCAAAAACTCATTATTTGTTTTAATTTTTTAAAATAATGAATACTTTAGTTAATCGTCGCGATTTGAAAATATTTTACATACTTTCGGTCAGAGCCGAATATTATATGCTTCAAAGTATGCAAACGCACAATGCGAAAGTTGTGTGAGCATTAATTCAACGGGTTTCGAGTACATGAAAATCGGCTTATCGACAACTTTGTTCAAAAATGTTGTAACCCAAAATACAGGTTTTTTGTGCAGTCCTTTAAATATTCAATGTTCAAAAACGGAGTGCTTCCCTGACAATGCTTCCCTAACAATCTTTTTCACCAAAAAAATCTTGAAATAGATGAGTTTAGAATATATAGCATATACAAATTAAATATGTATAATTTTATTTTAATAAAAGTTTAAAGTGCTCCACTCTGTTAATAATTAAAAAATTCTCAGTTTTATAATTTTTTTCATTATACTAATCTATAGTGACATTTAGTTGCATAAAATTATGTATGATAAAAATATACGATCTCAATATTATAATCAATATGAGAAAAGAATATGAGAAAAGAATCAAGAGAAAAAAGAATATCAATCTTTCAAAGTCTTCTCAACCAGGAAAGACAGAAAAGAATTATGTCACGATATGAATGAAATTATTATTGTATACCGAAAAAAATGTCACGAAACGTGACTGAAATTATTGCATACCTAAATTATATGTACTGAAAGCTCTGTTCTCAAATTTTACATTTCCCTTATACAACTTCACTAAAACATCGCAAACGGATATTATCGTTGCACTGTTTTCTTCATCTTTTGGTGGATATTCGGAAAACAACAGTGTCCTTTTTTCGAGCGCATTTGTTCGCGAAAAATCCATCCCTCTATCCTTCCTGAATACCGTGGGATATCGCCGGATATACGTATGTCGTTTTAGTGTGCTGGGATGCTGTAGTTTGCAGTTGCAGCGAACTCCGCAAGTCTCCGGGAAAGTTTGTTGCAGGACAATGGTCTCCGTAGGTAGGTAGGTATATGTAGGTAGATAGATACGCCGCGCTCATAAAAAAGCATTATGCGAGTTTGAGAAGTGTATCGTTCCGCTGCCAACTTGGACGAGCGCCGGTCGCCTCTGACGCGCAGAACTTTCTTCTTTCTCTTCCCGATTCACTGTGAGCAACGCGCCGAACTGCATCCTCGCAAACGCATCTCTGCGCATCGTGCGACTGTAAGGGCGTCGCGGTAAAAATGTCAGAGAATAAATATATAGTCGGATGCTGGCTGATGGTATTTTTTCTTTTTCTTTTTTTTTTAACGTTATATGCGCCTTCTAGCCACGTATACATCGCGGTTATGAAACGTCATGAAACGCCTGGCTGCTCTTGCTTCTTCGCTGCTCCTCCTTTCTTCATTTTTTTCGTTTTTAAAAAAATACGCGGCGAGAGAGGGAGCGGGGAGGGGAGAGAGAGAGAGAGAGAGAGAGAGAGAGAGAGAGAGAGAGAGAGAGAGAGAGAGAGAGAGAATCTCGTACATATACACCCGCCATTGTCGTACGCGGGTGTATAATCGCATTAATAAAACAGTATATTCTATGGACGCGTTATAATAGTGGCGCAAAGTCTTGTGTGCTTTTGCATGACAAAGGATGAAATTGACAAGCGCTGATGCTCTTGTTGTCACGGCAGCGGTGGATGGGTCACTCCGCGGTACAAAAGAACTGTGAATAGGAGACGAAAGCTCAGTTAATTAAATCCCCGTACGTTTAACTGTCTTGAAAAATCTGTTATCCGGTAAAACGGCGTATCTCTTGGCTAAACACTTGGATGACAAACGATAGCGATAAATTGTCATTCTCCACGGCTAAGTATAACAGCATTTTTTAATCAAGTGATATTTCTATTATCGCGTTTTTTTAATTAATTTTTCTCGATTCCTTACTGCATTTTGATTAAAAATTTGTGCCATTTCTCACTGTTTAAGAAATTCTTCTCGATCCTGCCAGTAAATTTAAGATT